ATGCAGTCAGTGGTATGCTTTAGTGAGTACAGATTCAATTTGCACTCAGCTGACCCTAACTAACGTTTCCCTAATCTACCTAAGTTGAGGGTAAATGCGAATTATATACATTAGGCTACAGTGCTATAACTTCTCTGGTAGTATACCTAAACACATATAGCAACCTAAAGATTCTGAATGAGTAGTAAACATGCACGGTTTATGCACATTAAGTTACAGAACTATAACTCTGGAGATATAATTAAGCACATGATAAATTAAAGGATGAGAGGAGTTTATTCTATGATGAGAAACGATTTGTTTCACTAATAATAGTATTCTGGTAAATGTTCACTTACAAGTTGTTGCGAATTTCAATTTTGCATGTGCTAAGATACTTCTCCAAACTGTCTCTAAGATGCTTGTGGGGCAGAAACAATAAGTAGAAGCAGCCCAAACAAAACTGATACAACCCTGCCGGTGCATCACATTAGTAAAAATGGATTAGTAAATCTTAGTCTAGATGACTTGGTATAAATGCAGTCTTCTCTGGAAGACTTACCTAAGAGGTAAGATAAATGCGATAAGATGCGATGAGATATAAAGACTGAAGATGGTCAATCATTACTGTTAAGAATAGTTGTGGGTCTATGGAGGGGGGGGGGGGGGGGGTCAGAGACATTTGCTGGTGTGACGTGAACCGGTTTAGGCTGCTGGTCACAGATTTATCCACTGAGATCCATAGAAACTAACTGGGCTAATACTAATTGTACAAGACTCAATCTTAAATTAATGTTAGTTGTCTGCAGGCATAAGCTTCTTCAGGTTCAAGACTCTACATGTAAGTAAGTAGCCTCCTGCTGAATTCAACAAGTTCATTCCTCTGGTGGCTTGTTGTTACTGTAATGAACTGATAATAATGGTCAGCCCTTACTAATATATCTTCATTGGTGCGGTGGTCAGACGTTATCTTGGTGTAAACCAAAATTACTCTTTATCCATCATTATCTCACTTGACACTATCTTAGTGTCATCTTTCCCTTATCGAAATCTAAGTTTAATATTTGCACTCGCGTGTTGATTCTGTTCATGTTCCACAAGATCCCACCATGCCTTATCACTGTTCTCTTTACCATGATCCCCACTCACCTGTTGTACTGTGCCCCCGCTACGTTTCGGTGACTCTTCGGGGCCTTGGTCACGGTGAACTTCAACGGCAACAACCTGCTCAATTTTTTCAGAGACTTTTAATTTAGCGGCGTAGTCCTTCATACGTTCCAGATCAATACTCCGAGTAAATTTTTTTCCACGTTTCTTCACATGACTGGTTACAGAACCAGCCTTCACACCCATAGCCTTCACACCCCCAGCCCTCACACTACCCCTACCCTTTCTATCATACCTTACTGAAGAGGGTGGAGTTGCCCTCTGCACAGACATCTCTACATCACTATCCTCCATGGCGTCATCGTCTACATCCAGTTGACAACCAATTACTTGTTCCATCGTTATCTCACCAAGGTCATCACCACCGCCAGCCTCGCAGCTCTGCGCAGCGTCAGCACCTATGTTACGGGCGTCCACATGTATAGTGTCCAGACTTACCTCACCCTCACCAGGGTTACCAACAGCCGGTAAAGCGTCCTGAGCAGTGTCGTCTGTACCCTCCTTGTCTGCATGACCATTATCGTCCTGAGCAGTGTCGTCTGCACCCTCCTTGTCTGCATTACCATTATCGTCCTGAGCAGTGTCGTCTGCACCCTCCTTGTCTGCATTACCATTATCGTCCTGAGCAGTGTCATCTGCACCCTCCTTGTCTGCATGACCATTATCGTCCTGAGCAGTGTCATCTGCACCCTCCTTGTCTGCATGACCATTATCGTCCTGAGCAGTGTCATCTGCACCCTCCTTGTCTGCATGACCATTATCGTTCTGAGCAGTGTCATCTGCACCCTCCTTGTCTGCATGACCATTATCGTTCTGAGCAGTGTCATCTGCACCCTCCTTGTCTGCATGACCATTATCGTTCTGAGCAGTGTCGTCTGCACCCTCCTTGTCTGCATTACCATTATCGTCCTGAGCAGTGTCATCTGCACCCTCCTTGTCTGCATTACCTTTATCGTCCTGAGCAGTGTCGTCTGCACCCTCCTTGTCTGCATTACCATTATCGTTCTGAGCAGTGTCATCTGCACCCTCCTTGTCTGCATTACCATTATCGTCCTGAGCAGTGTCGTCTGCACCCTCCTTGTCTGCATGACCATTATCGTCCTGAGCAGTGTCATCTGCACCCTCCTTGTCTGCATGACCATTATCGTCCTGAGCAGTGTCATCTGCACCCTCCTTGTCTGCATTACCATTATCGTTCTGAGCAGTGTCATCTGCACCCTCCTTGTCTGCATGACCATTATCGTCCTGAGCAGTGTCGTCTGCACCCTCCTTGTCTGCATTACCTTTATCGTTTTGATCTAAGTTACCTTCACCGGCCTCATTCGCACCGGGAGTCACTTCCACAGACGTTTCACTTACAGAGTTGTGGGTTACTTCATCTACCTCACCTGGAACTACAGTATTTACAACAGTGGGTTCATTTCCTGATATCCTCTATTAATGGCGGAAAGTCATGTTCATGAAAAATGTTGATCCGTTCTGATGATTCCACCTGGCAGGCAGCAGCCACGTGACCAGTACGCCCACACTGAAAACAAGTTTGCATTTGGCCATTGTATATAAATTTAATATAATGACCTGCTACTGACATTGATGAAGGAATATTACGGTGAAGTTCCATCTTTACTGTTCGTGCTCCATTAAAACACCCTTTCCCTGGGCCATAGGTATATTTATTAAAACGAACATTGTCCACTTTCCCATATTGTTCCAGTATATGTATAATAGTTCTATTCAACATTTCAAATGGCGCATCCCTCACAGAAACGTATGTAAACGTTTTGCTCAAATTAATCACTTGTACTGATCCTTTCCCATTAGGGTAAACTTAGAATATCATCATCATACTTCTTAAGAAACTCTGAAAACGCGACATTGTTTTCAAATTTCAACACCACTCTGTTCCCTGGCAGTGGTTGGTAACCAAATATTTCTTCCTGCTTGATCTGTAACACATCGAAGATCGTGGTGGATACAAGGTCGGGATCAGCATGACAACTAAACTTGAGTCCTATGGACTCCTTCCGCTTTAGTGGAGGTGTGTAGGAGCCCATGATGGCACATATACCACCCCCAGTGTGACGTTATCCGCCCATCCGTCAACACGCAGGCCAACAGCGACGACAAACACGTCCACCCGCCAGACGCCAGTAGCAGAGCGAATCAAAACACGTCTGCTCACCACCAAGTCCACGACGATACTCCTATAAAAGGATTATTCTCATTGCGGTCGTTTGAACTCGCGACTTCCAAAACACCAGCCACGCACCTTACCACCCAGCCACCATAGAGTTTAAGCAGAAAATTGTTCTTGTAAACTGGATTAGAGACACTCTTAAAGCTTTATGTGGACCAAGTATTAGAGTGGAGTTAATGAGGTTTTTAATGTTTCATATTGACATAAAATGCAAGAAAATTAGGAATACAAAAATTATGTTTCTTTCTGATTACATTTTTTGTGTGTGGATAGGCAGGCAGGAGGGTTACTCAGTAGACAAAATATTGAAATTCTTGCGAGGCAGGATCAGGTATAACATTTGGGGTTTACGGCTCATGCTCGGTGATGATATGGAAAATTTGTTTACTGGGAATTATATAAAATATATATAAATGTAATAATTTCCCCTGTGTTTTAATGTAAATTTATTCTCCAATTTTTGTAAATCGTTTATAGGTAAATATGTATAACATTCTTAACACTTGTTCACTAAGAATTGTAATGTATAATTGCCTTGTAAAACTTATGTATATGTAATTTATATTGTATTTTCTTAAATAAAGATAAAAAAAAGTTTGTTTCTATTTTTCTGCAAAAATCTGGCTGTGTTCCTTAGACCTTTGACATTCAGGTCAAAAGGGATGTGGTCAACTACTATAGCTTGCACAGGACGGACTTAACTGCCCAGGCGTACTAGTGGTTGCACTACTTCAAATTTTTCAGGTCCAGTATTGGTTAGGAATCCTGATATGTTCAATGTCACAATACACAAGGGTTTCAGTTACAGCTTGTTAGCTGCTTGTTGAGTGATGAACGTTCTCTGTGATCCCTGGTCGAATAGACCTCTTGTAGTGATCCTGGAATTCTTGTTTTTTAATTGTAATTATGCAGTAAGTAATGTGACATTATTATGAGACTTGGTGTTAAGCACCTGAACCTCTTGTCGTACCTTATAGCATTGCACAGTGGTGGATATGTCCTGTTCCACCTGGAGTTTAGGCAATTTGGGCCTGTCAACTCCACACAATGCGGAATGGTGTTGATCCTGGTGGCACCTGTTACATATGTGTAATGGAATGGTGCAGGTATTAGGATCATGTTGCATCAAGCACCTGGTACACTTGTGCAATTCCTTGTGGCGCTTTATCCTAGTAATGCAATCAGGAAAAGCTTGACACTGATAAATGGTATGATTCTCTTGACAGAAGAGACAGCATCTGTTTCCTGTAGTAGATGCGGGAGTCACTGATTTAGGTGACATATGGACTACAGGTTTAGAAGGGCTGATTGTGTAGGTACCTACTGTAGTATTCTTCCATTTTGAAGTGGAAGCAGCGGTTATAGACTTATTAGGCTGTTTAGTGGTACCATTGGGTTTGACTGATTTATCAGTGGTTGATTTGTCAGTGTTAGATACTATTTTCACATGAGTTCTCAGTCGATTAAATGTTATCCTTAATCCCTCGAAAATCTCATCTAGGGATAGGATATCTGTTCTATAATGAGAACAGATGGATGCTAGAATCTCCTTTGGAAACTTACTCTGTATTTCTAATTTCAATACCCACTCTGCTCTAGGTACATCTGTTTTGACACCTAGAACTTTAATCAGAGACTCTACCTGGAGCCTAAATTTTTATAGAGCTTCAGGTGTAGGTATCGCTCTTAACTTATAATAAAGATTAGCAATAGGAATTTTTTTATTGCTGTAATTAACTTCTAGTAACTGAATAGCAGTATCGTAGTCCTTATCACTAGGAATTAGGTACTCGACAACTGCATTTGCTTCACCCACAAGAGTACTTTGCAAATTGAGGAATTTATTAGGCTTGCTAATAGAGCCTTTTGAGTTTACTAAGGAGTCGAATGTGTTCCAATAGCATTCGAAATTTTCATCTCTACCATGGAAGTGAGGAAAATCAGTTTTTGAAAGACGAACTTTCTGGATTGTTTCCTGTTTATCAGTTTCAATCGTGGTCAGAGTATTTTGAGAAACTGATTTGCTCTGCAATTTTTCTAGAGATTGTGTTAATTTGTCTAGATGATCTTGAACACCCTCTTCAAACTGTTCTGTCTCAGCATGGAAGGTATCTAGTTTATCAGGTTCAGCATTCTTTTGCATGAGGACTTTGAGATAGTCATCTGCAGCCTCGTTTGTTCTCTGCAACTTTTGCTTGGCCACTTCTATGTGGTTTTCTAGTATTTTGGCTGTGGCACCTGACTGAACCAGCTGATCACACTTATTCAACTGTCTAGTCACATGGCCTCTGTGACTCGTGTATGATCTAAGATACAATAAGCAGTTGCTGGACATTTATTTCTTGCTGGACATTTATTTCCTCTGGTTCACAGTCTGTGGATTTTGGCTTAGTTGGTGCCATGATTTGGTTATGAAAATAATTAGGGTACTGATTTATATATACGTGGAACCAGTACGGTTATGGATACCCTAATATCTGATTCTATAGCTAGGCTATGTTAATCCTACCTCATGTAGAGATTAGCTTACATACCTAATAGTAAATAGCTAATATTTGAGTAGTACGTTGGTGTCTCTGCAGGAATTCCTAAGCTTAGCTCCTCATAATCAGCTTTGGATGGGTAGTGACACTTCAGTAACACTCAAAATGTACACAGTAATATATAATAAGATATGAAAAACACAATTCGTGTATAATAATAAGTCCTACCCTGACATGGGTTTGCACAATAATAAATGTTGACCAGGTTGTACTGCCTGGTACAATACTAGTCTACTAGTAGTCCTACCTATCTAGGTTGGCTGGTAATAATGAGTTAGACTAGAGTTGTACACTACTAAGTACAATTTCAGTCTAAGAATTCTTTTCTACATGGGTTGGCATATACTATAATACTACTGATGTGCAAATTCAGGAGAGTGCTATATTTTTTTATTTTTTATAATTTTATAGAGAGTATATACAAGTGATTATATATGTGACAAATATCCTATTACGAATGATTATATGTGAGCAGGTATTCTACTGCCGTAATTCTATACGTGTGGCAGGTATACTGCTGTGAATTCTATACTTATATCCTAGCACCTGATAATACTACTTAATTAATTAAAGAATATAATAATATCATGGATTTTGCTGACCAGACCACACACTAGAAGGTGAAGGGACGACGACGTTTCGGTCCGTCCTGGACCATTCTCAAGTCCTTCAGAGTGGTCCAGGACGGACCGAAACGTCGTCGTCCCATCACCTTGTAGTGTGTGGTCTGGTCAACATACTTTATCCACGTTATTGTGACTCATCGCCTGAATATCATGGATAATAAATAATTAATGAATTGTAATAGCCTAACTTCTGGCTATATTCTACTGATTATACTAGTTATGAAAATAACATAAATTTACACTAGTTTTTAGTTATAGTCTAGTTGACTAGATTATCTAGGTTCGAAGAACTATAAAATATGTGGGGAAATCTGGTTCTAGTTTATACTAATAAAATGTATAATTCTATGAATACAAAATAATAATTAATTCTAAGATAGCTAGAAGGACCAGAATGCGATGTTAAATGAGAGAACCAGTGACGTATGGATCTCTATGATTATATTTAATTAAATTCTACTATTCTAGTCAGCAATGAACCGTTAAATTCTATATATTCTAGAACCAGCTTCCCATGGCACATTTTGGGGGGTCTTCTATGAAGTTAGTCTTCGTGAAACATATATTATATGATAATAATAATGATAATATGCCTACACATAGATTATAATGATAAGTGAAATGTAATGCAATAAATACTACTGCATATTAAAAATCATATCATGTATATGATTAATATGCTATGATTAGAAATGCCTTGACTCTCAATAATTAAAAGGTACTATCTACAATGAAAACTTATTAAATCTCAGCTGTGACAGAGGGATGTAGGTGGAGTCCAATCTCTACAACAGTCTGGAATCAGCTTGAGATAGTGATCCTTGGAACACGTGAGTATATGACAGTTACACGCTTCCTCAGTGGTGTTGCACCATGCTGCAATAATTAAATTCCGTAATTTCCACCCCAAATTAGTATTCACACACATAAATGCAATATCTAAATAATTGGAGGGGAGGAAACAACACTTACATGGGGTTTATCTTTCGGCCTGCCGCGTAACGACAGGATACCTACATTAGTTTCATATTTATGAGCTCTATAAATACTACTAAAAGGTAAATTTTGCCTGCCGAACTGGTGTCTGTGATTCTGGTAAGTTGCATCCTCAATCTGAAGCCCGACGATGTACGGATGCTTGCAGAATTGTCTGGTATAAAGGGACCGCTTCGGAACACCGTGCTGCCAGTGTATCTAATATGGCGAGAGCCTCCTCCTTCCCTCTCGGGGGACGCGCATGCGCGAAAGGTCCCAGTGCAGTGGGGGGGGGGGGGGGGTGGCCGATGCATAAATTAAATTTATTCTTTAAAGCTAAAGTGCAGGTCAGGTAATGTAGACTGGCCAAATAAAACGAGAATCCTTTGGAGGTGGAAATGATTTTAGATTATGATATTATTTACTAGAACAGCGATCAAGCTGGGCAAAGGAATTCCAGTAAACTTTTGTATAATAAATAAAGTAAACCTATGACTAAATAATTATCCTTAATAAAGGAAAGTAAATGGTTGGACTTCTATTAGATCTACATATATGTGGAAATATATTCTCTGTGGGTGGCTGATGCAACACTGCCACAATTCTATGAGAAATTACATGATGTTCCACATCCTAATGCATTGAGTTCTATGATACTAAATTTCGGATTAGTAGTGTTAGATAATTTGACGCTTAGTACTGGGAATTCATCCCATTGTACTAAGGATTAATAAATGAGTGTTAAGCCTAATACAGGAAATACATCCTATTGTATTAGGGATGAGAATGATTGTTGGAAATTTCCAACAATTAAGGAAAGTCGGAAATTAGAGTTTGGCTGCATGATGCTGCTTCTGGAAACTTTTCCTTATTAAGACTACTCAGTAGCTCGGTCGATAGAGGTAAGGTGAGTGGAATAAGACACAAGGTCTACCCTCAGACAAGTTTGCAGTGGGTATATGTTACGGACCCGAGTCCAGCATCGGAGCACGGAGCAGTGACAACAACGCCATCTGTGAGTCCGCTCCCGAAACCCCCTCCAAATGGACGACGCCATCTAGTGATGACGAGAGACGCCGGCAATACGTGCTGGATTCCCGTCTTAATTGGCTCGTGGAATAGCCACTGCTGACCTCTGGTGAGGTGGCGCTTAGACATCAACTTAGACACCTCTTCACTCCATCTATGGAGTGAAGAGGTGGACGTTTGTGTCTAAGCCTGTAAGTGAGGTTCCTTAGAGCGTCCCAGTATTAATGACGTATCTGATTGAAGAGTCGACCTGGGACTGCTGTGTTGGATGATGGATCAGTCTACCCAAGGCAGCCAAGGTCTCTTCACCAGTCTGCTTTGAAGAAGCTGTGAGTCACCCCCGGACGAACTCTGTTGAGAGTATTAGCCTGCCTGTGGCGTGGCAGTGTCGGGAATCGCCTTATCCAGGGCTGGCTGGTGGAAGAGACTAGCCACTGTGGTGCTTAGTGAGGAGAGTGATCAGCGGGATCACACGAGGCTCCTGCCTAGGGCTCGCAACCCTAGTATCGGTCGTGGAGTGGCCTACAAAGCGGAGCTGATCGGTACCTGCCAGCTACAGGCTGGATTGTGGTTGAAGGCCTCCACGACGAAGCACCCAGTGGGACTGTGATTTGGCTGGCCTGTGGCCAGGGTAGATTCGTTATAGAGTCATAGTGGATTCATCGTGGGCCACGGAAGAAGGAACCAGGGCTACCCAGAGTGAGCACCGTCAAGCATCCAGTGTCTTCGGAGGAAGACGAGCCTGTACATAAGTGTGTAGTTATAATCCACGCATGTGACTGTTATTTATTTGTACATGGCGGTGGAAAATATATATATATAAATTAGAACAGTTGTATCCCTCCCCCTTTAATTTAACTTGCATTATGGAATACATCCCTTGAAAGCCTCTACTAACTTGGGGCCGGATTCCCAAACTCTACTACCATCAGAGAAGAACCCGGTTGTGTCCCAGTAGGGCCGTAACAGTATACTCACTGATTATTCATAAGTATTCCCACTGCTTTAGTAGTTACTTGAGATTTTGATTAGCATAAACAAGACCTCATTCATAATTAGTTTGATGAAGTAGCTTGCAACACTAATGAAGGAAAAGTAGTGCAGTCACAAAAATAGCGAACATTGCCGTCCTGAGGTTTAAGAATGACTCAAAATACCACCCCCAGGATGGTATTGTGAGTCCAAGATGAACAACGTCCTGGAGATAATTTTCGAGGCCTCAGTATCCAGACCTCTTCACACTACTAAGCTAAATATAACACTTGCATTACAAATCTCACCAGAGGTTTGCTACGCAGTGCCATTGAAACACCACACAAGACCCGAGGCATCTATGAGCACTATCCGAAAATATAAAGTTCGATTATATCGCACATTTCATCCACTGAGACCAGTCCAGCAGGCAATACACTCCCTCCTGAATCCATAAACAGCGATCACTACGACGTTCCTATTGTCTCCAATCAGCTGATCGTGAGGAAATATTGCCTCTTCCAGAATCTTTCAGTAAGTGTTATACAGTGCTTGAGATCAGCATGAAAGACCAGCATCTTAAGAACTCATGCTAAATGCATCGGGGAAAGTGTAGAGACGATAGTAGTCTTTGCCTCGTCTTCTACCTTTGTTTGTGACTATGTATTTCAGTGTTTCTCTCTCTCTCTCTCTCTCTCTCTCTCTCTCTCTCTCTCTCTCTCTCTCTCTCTCTAGTTCTCTCAGGAGAGTATGGTTGTTGTGGTTTTAGATTCAGCTACTTAAAACAAAATTTCCAAATAGCATGTGCTATGGTGAGCCCGTAGTGGACTTTGGAGGGTGTCATGTAGGAGTGAGTGGATGTGCGATGTAGTTGAAGGGTAGCGCCTTGTCTGGTACCATTGAGTCTGGTGGTGGTGGTGGGGGAAGGGCGTGGGTGGGATTCTGCAAGTGTCCCGAGAGTGGGGGGGGGGGGATGATACACTCTATCCATGCTGGTGTTGATATTTCATCAAAAGTGACGTCATTAAAACTTCATTTCTCTGCACTTGCTCTAGTTTAATGGGTAGAATAGTTTGTGTAATTTTACTGAGATTACTGCATACTGTTTTATGGTATAATAAAAAAAAATAGTAATACTTTTAATAAGCAGTTAATTTTCTATTGCAAGATTCGTCCTTTGTCATTTATTT